CATGCTCAGGTCCTCTACAGGGTTGCTCTCAATCCATCCCCCAGCCAGTACTGACACTGGGGATTGCCCTGGCCTTGCTGAGCATGATATGGTTTCTATGGCTCCAGCCTGTGCAGGTCCCTCTGACACCCCTTCAAGTGCATCACCTTCTCCACTCAGCTCAGCTGCAGGTGAATCCAGGCTGTGGGTGCACTCAATCCTGCTGTCTCAAACCACTGATATTAAGTAGTGCAGGTGTCAGTACGGACCCTGCAGGGGGACACCACGTGTTCAATTTGGCCGTTGAGTCACTAACTCTCAGGATGCACCCATGCACCCGATTCCTTATCCACATAATAACATCCAGAGCTTCGCTGGAAGTCCTTAGCTCCAGAAGGCCAGTTCCAGAAAGTATTTAGCTCCTACACATAGCAATGTAACATACCATTAGCAGACAGTGGTGCTGTATGCACCCAGCCAGGAGTCAGGGACCTGAAAGCCTTGTGTGGCCCAAACCAAAGCTTCTCTCCAAAAGGAACTTTGGGGGTCTCTTCAAATGCTGCCCGGCACTGTGGCAGAGCTCCCAAAATGTCTGCTCCTGATTCGCTGGGCCTTTCAGGTGCTCACAAATGCATTTAAAGCACCCCTGTGTGCTCTTCACATGTCCCTAGATGTCCAGGATGCTGGGAGCCATCACTTCCTCTTGCTCACAGGTGTCTTGCTAAGGGATCCCTGGCACAAGTGTCTCCTTGAGCCAATACCTCCTTCCCGTGTCCTTTCCCAGTCCCATCCCCAGCTCCATCACCTCTCTCTGGTGAAGTAGAGGCCTTCAACATCCTGCAGCCATAGGTTCTCTCTTCCTCACGCATCCACGCCTGTCACACCAGCATTGGCTGAGGAAGTGACAGTGAATAGGGATGGAAACATCTCTCTTCCTCTGTTGCTTAGGAATATTCTTAGGGAAGATGGAGAAGTCTGTCCCCAAACCCAGGAGCTGGTAAATCCTGGCTCAAGTGTCTGCTGATGACGGGAGCTCACTAGACATCCCTCCAGCATTGTGGAATGATCCCAATTCAAAGGGTCCTCTGGAGGTCTCTCGTTCATCTGTCCTCTCTGAGTAAAGGCCAACCTGAAAGTTAGAGATTGCCCAGGGCCATTTGCAGTCAAGTTTGAATCTCTTCAAGGACAGAGATTGGAGAACGCAGCCGAGCTCCCTTCCTGGTGCTTAACCACCCTTGTGAATATTTTCATTCTCCTTGTGTCAAGTCAGGATTTTCCCTGTTGGAGCTGGTGGCTGTTATCCCTTAGCCTTCTCCCTGCTCTTGCTTCCTTGTTTTTCCTGTGATGCTGCTGGGAAACACACATTGACGACATCTCTGCTTTTGTAGGGCTCTGGGAACGGTGCTGGTGGGAAACTGATTGCTCCTTTGCTTTTTGAAGGAGGCAGAATCTCCTTGGAGAGCTTTCTCCCTGGATCTCCCATTTCATCTCTGTATCATGTCCTAGGAGAGGGTTTTGAGCCTATTCCCTGGAGTTTCTGAACACAAGTCACTCCTCACCACACTGAGGCACTCTATAAGTACAGGTACAGCATTAGCTGGTCTGGGGGGTGTTTGTACATTCCCACTGTCCCACCTGCATGCATCAGAGTCGAGAGAGGAGAACTACAGCTCCCACACCTCCTGTAGCATGGCTGCGTATTTTAGCAGCTGTTTTCATCTTGCAACAGGCAATGGTGTTACCTGTATGTCTCGGACTGACCTTTAGTTACACTCCAGGGCAAGCAGCACTTTTCCTGCCCTTGCAGTGCCATCCTTTGGGCACCCGGCCTGCTCCAGCTGCAGCAGACTTCCCGGTACAGGTATTTTTTCCAGGTGGATGTGGTGTTTCTAACAGAAGATGTGTAGAAAAGTAAGTGGGGGCAAGGTCAGGCTGCCACCCAGGGCTGCCTCCTTGGGAGCGAGGAGCTGCTGCTGTCCCCACTGCGGGTGCTCGTTCCTGGGGGTGCTGCAGGTGATGGGTGCACCCAGCTTTGGGGTGCAGCTCCTGCCTGTCCCAGGCTGCTGCCACCGCAGGAAGCACTTGGGATATTATTGATGGGCTTGCACGCACTGTGTGGTGCTTACTGGGTGACACTGGGAGCTGGGCTTTGCCTGTGGTAGCCCCTATACTTATCCATCATGTTCACACTGGGACATCAGTGCCGGGCAGTGATTTTATTTGCAATTTGAGCATCAAGAGGCCCCTGCGCGAACCCCAGGTCAGGTCCGGCGGTGCCCAAGGGTATGTATTAGCCTTATGTGGGTTTGGGGGTTTTCTGGCTGTGAAAACCGGGGGCTTTCTGCGTGCCCCCCCGGTTGAGTGCTCCCATTCCCAGGTCCCTTGCAGTGCTGTTTTCATCCGCCAGGTGTGCGCAGTTGAGCCGCCTTGGCTCTCTTCCCGGGAATGAGCTCAGAGGCTTCTGATTGGGACAAGGGATCAGCTGCTTTGCTGACGTGGCGCTGACGCATCCCTGCATCCTTCCCTGCATCCCCCATCTCTCCCCCCGCGACCTCCTTTTGCAGACAAAGAGGGGAAGTGCTGGCTGCGTGCGCATCCCAGCATCCCATCATCCCATCCTGCGCATCCCATCATCCCATCCTGCGCGCTGCCAGCCCCCGTTCTGCTCCCCCCCCCCCCCCCCCGAACCTGGGAAAAAGAGCTCAGCTCCCATTGCCTTTGTCCTGTCCCACAGCTTCCTTTGGGAGATTTGTCCTTCCTTTCAATGCCTGTGACAAGGCCATAATGGACGGGGGTCTCCATCTGCTGCTGAGGGGAGCAGGGGTCCGCAGGGAGAAGTCACCTGCCCTGGCACACAAGGCAGCACTTGCCCCCCAGCCTTTTGGGTGCTTGGTTGTCAGGCAGTTTGAGAGCAGGAGAAGGGATTAGCAGTGGTTTGCGCCATTAAAAGTGACAGGGATCTCTGCGGCATTGTGTGAGTCCCTTTCTGCACCCCTCTGCTGAGGGTGTATTGTCTCCAGTGCACCCCCTTCCTGCCCTGTGCTCTCAGCCCATTGCTGTTGTGCTGATGCAGTGCTCCTCTATTCCTGTCCCCCCAAAACCCCTTCCCTGCAGGCACTATACATTCGGGTGGGTGCCCAGTAATGCCAGCATACCCTGGTCCTGCTGGGGACCACTGTCCCACCGAGCCCGTGTCTATTGCTCCTGCCCCATGGCACCATCTCACCAAGCTGGGGCCCACCCTGATGTCTCACTGTGCTTTCCCAGCACTCACAGCCTGAGTCACCTCGGGGATGCTGAGCATACACCCGTCTTTAGCAGCCCCAGAGCTATGTTTTGCAACTCTTTTCAGTCCCTCATTGCTCACGGGATGAGGTGTTCTGGCACCTCGTCTGTTGGTGCCTCTTCTTATGCAGCAGCACTGCACAAATACCTGATGCTTGGTGTACTCCTGCTGCCAGTTCTGACCTGCCCAGCTCCCTGCCATGCCAGTGCCAGCCTTGCTTGGCTCCTGCCATCCAGGGGGACATGCCCATAGTTTTTCAGCTGCAGAACTGACAGTGATAAAGCTAGCACCCCTTTCACCCCCCCCCCCCCCCCAAGTGTCCTATCAACTGTGCCTGCACCCCAGCATGCTGCTAAAGCAGGAGCATCACCCTGATCCCACTGAAAGGATGGCTCTCCCCCACGAAAGGCCCTTAAAGGTATTGCTGTAGCGAGGTGGGGGTTGCTGTGTGCAGCTTTGTGGTGTGTAAGTGCTGGTACCCCCAAACCAGTGCTTGCCAGGCAGAATGTTTGCAGCTGTGGTGCCAAAATGTGTGCTGGGCACCTTGCTCCTGGCTGAATTCAGTCCTTTGGTGTTAGGACTTTACTGCAGTCATCCATATAAGCACTTTCTCTCTGTCTTTCCATATTTAAAACCCTTTCTTTTCTTCCTCCTTTTCCTCAGTGTTTAAGTTACAAAAAGGACTCGGGGTCCTGGATCTATTTGTGGTGGTGTCTCATAGCTGAGTGATGTCTTTTGGACATTTTTGAACTGATCTTGTGAAAACTTCTTGCAAAATTTCTTTGGGACTTTAAGCCTCGGATCCAAATGGAATTTTGACCTACACTGACATGCTCCTGGCTTGAAAGTTTGGATGCTCAGTGAGTGCCTTGCGAGGTACCTGTGTGCTCATTTTGCATGTACCCTTTTGTCCCTAAACCTTTCCTAGGAACAGCATCTGGTGACCCCATTTCAGGACGGTGCTGGTTCTCCCCTCATGTTCGTTTTCAGCCCTTTCTCCCATCCCTGGGCCTGTACATGCTCCTACAAGAGGTGACACCAGGCTTTGGGCACTCTGCCTCATGTATAAATACAAATGAAACTGGGTGGTTTCTCTCAACCCTGGAAAAGTATGTAATTGTGCAGAGCTGTGGGCATTAATTGTGGGGAGTTTTGTGTGAAACATGCTGCTTTTAATACAAAATACTACCTTTTTCCTACGGATTGTGAATGTAACACAGCAGGGAAAAGCAGAATAAAAAGGGATGGTGGGGAGAGGTAACCAGGAGAGCTCTGGAGGCGACAAGGCTGCTGAAGGCTTTTAAGGCAATATTTTGGCTATAAAGAGCAATTTAAATGCCTCAGTAAGGGCTGGTTGGGGTCTCTCTTTCTGCTTGGAGCCTGTGGGGCTGGGGAGTTCTTTCCCCCCCCCAAGCCCAGGAGCGGCTCATCCAGCAGCAGAGGGTGCTCATGCTCCGCCGTGCAAATCCCGCTTCTCCCTCAGCCATCTTAGGGAAAAGCGGATTCCTTCCCTGCAGTCTCCATTTTATGTTTCTGACGCAGAAAATATAAAGGTTGGCAAAGGGAGAGGATGGGGGGGGGGACCGGGATGTGCCGAGGGGAAGCTTGGCAGCGCTTTCCCTGCGCCAGGGTGGGATGCGGGGCTTGGAGCAGGGGAGGCAGGCGAGACCTGTGTCGGGGGGGATGCAGAGTGAGGGGGGTCTCGGAGGGAGATGCCAGAATTGGGGCTGGGGGTCTGCGGAGTGAGCTGGTGTTTGGGATGGAATGCTGCTTGGAGTCCCCGGGGCTGGATGGTGCCCTCCATCCCTCCATCCATCCCTCCGCAGGATGCTCCATATTCCTGTTTTTGAACTCACATCTCCATAGGAGGCTGAGCAGACCCCACAAACCGCCTGGAAGCGGGATGGAGCTACGGTTTCACTGCAGAGCTTCTATTGTCCGGGCTCCCCACATGAGAGGGACTTTCCTGTTTCCATTGTTCCGGACACTGGGATCTATTCTTGCTCTATTTTTCCTTCCTGCCTGTGCACACTGGGAGGAGTGGGATGTTGCCCCAGGTTCGTGACCAACAACTCTTGGCAGCAGCACCTTTCCCAGCTGTATGGAGAGCCCCAGGAGAGCTGCCAGCATGTGATATTGAGTAACTATTGTCAGCATCTCTATTTGTAGTAACCGGTTTTATGTTGTTTGTCACTGCATCCTTCGTGTTATACGGCGGAGCACTTGGGGGCGAGCAGGCATTTCCCAATTCAGGATATGAAGCAAGATGGCAACTCACTGGAGGCTTCTCCAACAGTGAATTTCACTGAACAAGCCAAACAAGGGTGCTGCCGGCTCGGAGATGCTCTGTGGTCCCCTCCCAGTCACCGGTTCTTCACAGGCTCTTGCTCTGCACTGAGCACAACGCATCCCTCCCTTCCATGAGAGGTGGTTGGCAGGAGACACGGTTCTGTGAGCCTCTGTATTGGGTTTGTTTGCAGTTTTATTCAGGCTAAAGAATGCAGTTAAAGGGTTTTCGTTGGGGCATCTATCGTTTCCAGTACCTGAGGACCAAATTGCTAAGTCCTCACCCTCAAAGGTATGTGCACAGACATAGTAGGTGCCATAAAGCATCCAACTAACTTCAAACCAACTGGAGCTGCCAGCTCCAAAACCTGCCTCAGGTGCGGATTAAATACTTCACAGTTTGGTCCGAGTCCATCAGCAAATTTAGACCAAAATCCCCGGGAAAGCTGACTTGTTTCGATGAGTCTGCACAAGCAGTGACAGGGAAGGGAGGTGGGGGATATCCCTGCTTAGTCACTCCTCGTTAGAGAAATCTGTTCCTTTCATTCTTGTGCTTATCAAGACTCGGTTTATTCTCAATTTCTTACACCCCCTTCTGTTTCTCCTATAAATGATTTTTATTTTTTTTTTTACAGCATTTTGCTTTGCTTTCACCCAACTGTTCCATGCTTTGGGGTATTTCCTCCTTCCCACAACCATGCTCAAAGATGCTTCTCGGAGGTAACAAACGTCATGAGGCTGCTGCGGTTTCTCGGGAGCCTTAAATGAGTATCTTTTCCTTTAAATACCCTGAGTTAAAGCTCCCTTTGTTTGTGATCTTGTGCCTATACAAAAATAGGTCAGTGATTCTGTGCCGGCAGCGGCTCCGGGCGCCGGCGGGGCTGCAGGAGGAGGCACGGAGCCGCGGCACAGCCATAGGTCAGCTCAAGGGAGGGATGCTCGTCCTCTCCTGCCTTGTTACTGGGCAGTGTTCCGCTTCAGGGACTGCTGAGCGGAGGGGGGGTGATGTTGGGGGTGCTACAGGCTCCTGCAGCCCCCATGCCCACGGTACTGGAGGGGGAGCAGAGCTCACCAAGCAGAGCTGCTCAGGGTTGGGTTTCTGTGCTGCTTCTCCCCCTGCCTATGGTTGGGATACTGCAGGAAGGGTGTCTTGGCTTTACTACCCCTCTGGGATGGGTAAAGACCCCCCTGCTTGTTCCAGCCCATAGTGAAGCAATGGGTTTTCAGGCATCCGAGCACTGGAATGCCTGTCATGGTCAGTGGAGTGGAGCTGGCAGAGGCAGAGTCACAGGACAGGGTGCAAACCCTTTTCATACCCCTCTGTGCAAGTCCCAGGAGTGTCAGTGGGGACTGTCCACGCTCCTTGAGAGCGGGGTGTCTGTGACAGCCTCACTCCTATGCAGTGTAGAGGAAATGGCTGTTAAAGAAGGGCAGGAAAGCCTTGGTGCTGTGCTGATGCTGGGCACCTTTCAGTCACTTTTTTAGTACCAAACCTGCAAACACATCTCCTGAAACCCTTCCCTCGTGCCTCTCCACAAATCCTTTGGTGTTCAGTGCCTTACACTGAGCTTTGATGTGCAAGTGGATATCGTGGACATTGTCAGGCCTGAAGTCTCTGCACTGATTTAAGGCAATAGATGTCTTCAGTGAGGTTATCTTGCTCTTTGTGGCAGAGTAACCTGTGCCCGTATCTGTGCACGCAGGGAAAGCAATGCTCTGATCATTCCCTACCCCTTTGTAAAGGCATTTGTTGCATGTAGCAGCCAGAGCTTTGGTACTTGTTAGGAGGGCAGTTCTGGTCAGCCTCTGCATGAAGAAAAGCCGGGTGCTTCCCCAAAGCATGACTCCAACAGATTACGTGGGTTTGCTGTACTCAGAAAAGACAGACCAGGAAGGCAAGAAAAGACTCTCCAAAGATAAAAGGGGGAAGGAGCCGCACTTGTTGGGTTTGCACAATCCTCTGCCAGTGGGACCAAGTCAGAAACCACTTCTCTCTGGTGCTTAGGGGGTTCTAAAGCTTGACCCGTGCTTTTTCTATGACCTGGCAGATGTTTCCTGGGGCTTCTCTGCTTGCCTTATGAAGAGATCAAGACTGGTCCTGGAGCTGGTGGAGGCTGGGCTGAGCACTAACCTGGTGCAGGTGAGTTTCTGTGTCTGCCCTTTGTGTAAGGAAGGGAGAGGTCAGGGACCTGTTTGCACTCGGCATCTCTTGAACTTCGCCCTGGTGCAGGTCCAGGCAGCTCTGTGCTCTGTGTTCTCTTGTAGAACTCGCTCAAGCTTCCACAGCTGATGAAACTCGGAAAAGTGCAGCTCTGGCCGAGTGTGAGCAGTCTGGCCTTCTGGTGAGTGAGTTTTCCTCCAGTGTGATCCAACAGGGATCACATCAGCTTGTTCCCCTGACAGAAAAACTGCGTTTTTCACTGTTTTGTTCCTTGTGTGTTGCCCAACTCCACCTCTTGCCTTGTGTTCCCTGCAGGGTTTCCCTGTCTAGTATTGCACAAAAGATGATGAATCAGGCTTAACACTGAGATGTACCCTCAGAATTTGGTGTAAAACATCAGCTACAGCAGCAGAAGTTCAACTCTGGGGGTGGGAAGGAGGAATAAGTGGGAGAAAAGAGAGAAAAGGAAAAGCTCTCTCAGTGGCCACATGGGGAGAGAAACAACAGGAGTCTCCCTGAATACGCGCTTCCTCCAGTGCAGCAAGAAAAGAGTCCCCCAAAAACTTTTCCTACTGCAGCTCTTTGGACATTTCAAGCCTTGCTCAGTGCCCCGTTGTGAATCCTTAGGCTGAAAGTGTTGATTGGAACCGGCTTTGATTAGGTGTAGGTATTGCAATGCTAATTGTCCATTAAGCTTAGCGCTGCCCATCCTTGAGTGATGTTTAGTGGTGCTTTAATGCCCCTTGTCTCCTGCTGAGGGCCCTGGTTCGAGGTTAGCGCTCCCAGCACAAAAGGCTGGAAAAGGCAGATCCTCTTCCCCCCCCTCCCATCAGTGGTAATTAACTATTCCCGTCTAATTGCTTCCCACTGCCACACACAGCACAACAAAGGGCTATGGGGCTGATTCAGGGGAGATAAGGTTAAGGCACCGTGTGGGTCCAGTGTTAGACTTAGGTCTGGTTGTCTAAGCTCTTATCCGCTCTCAAGGAAAACAACACTGGAAAGGCGCCTCTGTAGCATACACACCCTGCTTACGGTAGGGACTTTGTCTCCTTTTCTTCATCCTGCTGTCTGATAACGTTTCTTAGCATCCTTGTAACCACAGTGATGAGCATAAATTCTGTGCTTAGTTTGGCCAAAAAAAGGGCTAGCAATGTCTTTAACCTGCTTGGATGGCAGTAATTGTCCTTGGGCTGCTGGATCAGTTCAGCTTTATTACCCGAGTTTCCAAATAGGCTCACTCTTCCTGTAGAGGAGGCAGCTTTATCAACTCGCTTTGTGGGGAGAGTCTCAAGTAAATTTTGGACTAGATCTATATGTTCTTGTATGTGTTCCAGAAAATGTGTGCTCCCTGTCATTGTTCCCTATGTACAAGCTTCCATAACGCATGTGGTTGCTGTGCTTCACACCCCCACCCTGCTTTTTATAAAGGCAGGAATAAAAAAGGAAGAGAAGAGCTCCCTATTTATCTTCCCAAAGAATCTTGAGATGGTCTCGGTTGTCCTGTTTTTAAGACAGAGCTCTGGGTTGTGCGCACAGGAGGAATCTGATGTCTGACAGGCAAAAGCATCTGGTAGAACTCCAAAAGAATAGGTCATTTTCTCCTGCCACGTTTAATTCAACCCCTACAAACTTGGCCTTGTGATGCCAATAGGAAACACCCATTGCAAACTGATTTTGTTCCTTCAGTGTTAGAAGCCTTCAAACTGCTGGAGCTATACAACCTCCTTTAGCAGCAGTGTTGTTTTCACTGTCCGTTTGACTTTGCTGGGGGATAATGGGCAAGAAGAGCTTGAGGTGGGGAATGGGAAGATCAGGACCCCATGTCTGATGGCTCCTGCACTGAGGAGGATGGGGTTTCTCAGTGTTAAGACCATGACCGGAAATGAGAGCACTGACACTTGTCAGAAACAGGGGAGTGGAAAATAAACATGATCTTGTTCCTAATGCCTTTATGTTTGTGATGTACAGGAAGGATAAAACACCTCAAAGATGCCTTTTCCTGTCATTTTTTCACTTGTATTGATGAGTACTGTTTTTACAATTAAAATGTGTGCAGGGCTTAGAGGGAGCCTCCCTGGGAGGTGATTCTGCCATAACTTAGCCCTTGCCAATGATCTTTCTGGAAGCATCTCCTCCTGCACCCAGCTGTGTGTAACCTGCCTAGAGTCTGCAGCCTGAATTCCATCTCCTTCCTTCTCAACTCCTGGATAACCCTATAAGCCCATTCCTGGCCATAACAACATGCATTGTCTGAGGCCTTCTAAAGAAGGTCAGTTTAAATGAGCTCTTAGGCAGAAGCTCTTCCCTGTGAGGGTGCTGAGGCGCTGGCACAGGGTGCCCAGAGAAGCTGTGGCTGCCCCATCCCTGGCAGTGTTCAAGGCCAGGTTGGACACAGGGGCTTGGAGCAAGCTGCTCTAGTGGAAGTTGTCCCTGCCCGTGGCAGGGGTTGGAGCTGGATGAGCTTTAAGGCCCCTTCCAACCCAAACCATTCTATGATCCTGGGGATGCAGTCTCATTGTCCCCCAGCCAGGGTGTGTTTGACACTGGGGGCACTGGAGTGGGTTGCACAGTTGTGTGCAGGCAGGACGGGGGTCCCATGCCAACTGGATGAGCTTTAAGGTCCCTTCCAACACAAACCAATCTGATTCTCCTTCCCAACAGTTTGCCTGATGAGATCTGACTGCAGAAGTGCTCTGGTGACAGAACCCACCTGTTCAGAAAATAGCTCTGGTTGCCATAACAAGTTGGGAAAGCACAATGAGCAGTTTTTCAATAACTGCCTATATTCAGTCATGTCCCAAAAGCAGAAGGTCCCTAGTGAGCTGCTTCAGAGACGTGCATGTGCTGCTGCAGATGCTGTGGCATGGACATGCACAATGACAGCCCCTTGAGACTCAGTCACTGCTCATCTTAAGCATTTTTGTGTTCATCTTTCTGCCTGCCTGCTGATCTCTGTGCTTGTTGCTGTGTTGGACTCTGGCTGAGGTCAGCAGGAAACAAGTGCTTGATGGGTCTGAAGCCTGCGGGACTCCAGGCATCACTTCAGTGCTTTCTGCAGTTCATCTTACAAGTGGGAGCTGGCAATGGCAAAGAACTATTGCTGCCTGCCAGCTCTGGTGCCTGCACACATCCTGCACCTACCTGCTGCCTCCAGCAATGACTTGCCATGGTTTTGGTTGATAGAATGGAGTGAGCATCATACAGTGTGGGCTCCACCTCTGCATCTCAAAGCCTGACCTAACGTGTGGGTCTCTGGGGGATGGTAGCTCTGGGGCAGCCTGGGGACTCTAGAGCAGAAACAGAGCAATCAGCTCCCTGCAAGTTGAGTTGCTTTAGTGTGGGTAGCTCAAGGAACTGGTTGGGATCCTCTGGGTTTATTTCCCAATCACCTCCATGGGGGTGGCTAAAAAGCACACCCAGAGGATTTCCAGCATTTGGGAATACCTGTTGGTGAGGCTTTCAATGCCTCCCATATGGTCCTGTCTTCCTGATCATTTCTTCTCATGACCAGCTCCATCACACAAAAACCTGGGAGCAGAGGTGATCCCAGTGAAGGTGAGATGCTTCCTGTGGCTCAGAAACAGGAATTTGGATCTTGGCTGCTCTGAGCAAGGACAGTTTTGGCTCATTGCTGCATCTGTGGCTGCAAAGCCTGAGGCTGCATCCCAAAGATGCCTCATTTGTGGTGTTACAGGGGAAGCCTTTTTCCTATCCAAGCTGTGGCTGTGCTGTCCTGTGCAGGGTGCCGAAGGAAAGAAACATTGATGAGACAGGCGGATGTGATGCCTGGAAGGAAGGATACTCATTTGTCCTGTGATAAAAGGCTGGTGGTGCTGAGTCAGTGTCCAGGGAGGAAGGAAAGTAGGAGGCAGGAGCAGGATGTGGACTGCAGATGTATCCTTCCCTTGGACAGATGACAGCTCCCTGCTGCTTCTCTGGTGCTCTGCTCTTCTCTTACCTGGTCTAGTATTTACATCCAGCTAATCAGTCTCAACATAGTTATATGTCACTGTATAACTGCCCCATCCCTTCTCCCAGCTGCTGAGCCAATGCCACTGTGCTGCACTAGAGCTGGGCAGGGTGCTTCACTGTGTCTCTGCACCTCAGTCGGGCTGTCTTTAAGCAGCCTTTAACAACAGGTCCAAAGAAATCACCTTTTAATCTCGATGGCTGAAGTGTGCAGACCTTTCCTGTTGTGTGTGTCCTATACCAAAATACTGCAAAAACAAAGGACGGAGAGCATTGGTGCTGGCTCTTTGTATTTTTGCTGCAGAGTTCTTTCATCTGATCTCAGCCTGGAGAAGAGAAGGCTCCTTAAGGTGAGACCTTAGAGCAGCGCCAGTGCCTAAAGGGGCTACAGGAAACCTGGAGAGGGGCTTGGGACAAGGGCCTGTAGGGACAGGCCAAGGGGAATGGCTTTAACCTGCCAGAGGGGAGACTGAGATGAGCTCTTAGGCAGAAGCTCTTCCCTGTGAGGGTGCTGAGGAGCTGGCACAGGGTGCCCAGAGAAGCTGTGGCTGCCCCATCCCTGGCAGTGTTCAAGGCCAGGTTGGACACAGGGGCTTGGAGCAAGCTGCTCTAGTGGAAGGTGTCCCTGCCCGTGGCAGGGGTTGGAACTGGGTGAGCTTCAAGGTCCCTCCAACACAAACCAGGCTGGGATTCCGTCACCTGCCTGTGAAATGCACATGAGGGTATTTGTGAGCGAGCTTTGCCCTTGCTCTGAACACACGCACACCACCCAGGAGCAGGAAAGTCTGTACTTCCTGGGTGATCAGCTGCTGGGGAGCACTGCGGTGTTGCCTGAACAGTTTTCAGTGTGTGCGGGTGATTTAATGGATCTAACTGGGGGGTGAGCCACACTTCTGGCAGTGAGGACAAGGGTATTTTCAGGAGGGACGTCTTGAGCCCTGAGGACAGTTGCAGGTTAGAAACTGCTCCTGCTTAAAGCAAGAATTTTAGGAATGTCCTCTTTTTTATGTGCTGCAACATGTAGAAAAGCTTCTACACGCCAAAAGGACAGATTGTGGATGTGCGGTGTGGTCTGAACTGCCCAGCTGACACAGATGAGAGCAATGAATCCGTGGGGAAAAATTTACAGCATCCTCTTGGTTTTAGAAACAAAAACGTTTCCAAGTGGATATGAGCAGTGGTAGAAGGGATTCGCGGCCCTCTGCAAAGTCTGGAGACTGAGTAGAAGGGTTCATCATGTGGGAAAAGGCATTTCTTTCGTGGTGTGGACCACGAAGGGTTCCTCAACAGCTGCGGGGGATCTTGCAGTGCTGCAGGGGTGCTGTTTGCTGTCAGCGAGGGATCTCTGTCATTCTGAGCCTCACTGAGAGCTTTGGACAAAGAGATTGCTGCTCTGTTCAGTTGTCTGCAAGTGAGTTACCTGACTGCATCCTGGAGAGACCTTGGGCAGCCTTCTAATACCTGTAGGGGCTACAGGAAAGCAGGAGAGGGGCTTTGGACAAGGGCCTGTAGGCACAGGACAAGGGGAATGGCTCTAACTTGCCAGAGAGGAGACTGAGATGAGCTCTTAGGCAGAATTTCTTCCCAGTGATGGTGGTGTCCTGTCCCTGCCTGCCCTTGTCAAAAGCCCCCATCCACCTTCTTTGCCAGCCCTACATATTCTGCCTATATAGAATGCAGTTTACATGACACACCAAAACTCTGTGCGGCCTTTCAGTACTTAGTCCTGTGCCCTGTCTCCTCCATTGTTTTCTCTGGAAGCAGGGTGAGTGTTAGCACCAGAGCTCTTCCCCCTGCTCCCAGCCCATTCTGCAGCAGTCTGGCATCAGCTCCTCTGTTCAACCACAAACGTTTCAGATTTCTTTGCAAATGTGTTTTAAAAGGAGGGATGGGGAGGCCATAAACAACTCGGGAGCTTTCCCAGGGCTGTAGCCTGAACCCGGGAGTACCTAAACCAGAAGGGCAACCCCTGTGGGAGAGTCCTGCAGTGATTGTGCAGCCTCAGGCTCCTCATTCCTCACCTTGCCTGTGCCCTCCTCCTACAGCAGGTTCTGTACTGCTTCCTGGGAGCAGGGTGGACCTCGTCCCTCCTGGCACTGCCCGATGAACAGCAAAACCATGTTCTGATGTTACTATGTTCTACTTTACTTCCTAGCTCCGTATGTGCTCAGGGATGTAGATCTAACCATATCACTTTGTAATAACAGCCATTTCCTTCCCTTTTTTGCAGCATTATCATGTTACATCAGGACAACGTGTGCCTACTACAGGCACAGACCTGAGAGGCCACATAAGTGACAAGTGACCCGTCTCAGTTGGCTATTCTGAATTCAACCCTCTGCTTGGCTCAGGAGGTTAATGCGACTCTGTGACTGTCCCCACAGCGTGGGCTTTCTCCCTTAGTCTGCTCCGTGCTACCAGATGCATTCTTTGCTTCCAACATATGGACTCAATTACTGTCCCTCTCTCTTGATTTCCTGCCTCTTTGTGTTTCCTGAAACGCATCCCCTCCTCCTGGCAGCTTGAACTCCCGCAGTGAGATGCTTTGCAAGCTCTCGCATTCCTCCTTCTCTCCCTCCTGCCGCTTTGCTGCCTCTGACAAGGTGGTCCTGATCCCGAGCACGCACAGATAAGGCTGCAGACCCTCACTGTCCCTAGAGCTCAGCCCGGGAAGCCCGAGGGCTTGGCTTGCCACGGCAGAACTAGCCAGCCCACTAAATGCATGTTCCGTGTCTAGCGTCTGTGCCCCTGCTCCTCTAGAGAGGTCCCCACCCTGCCTCAGCGTTGTTCCTAGATCACCCTGGTGTTTTCAGCCAACCTCTCTTTGCAGTACTTGGGTTTATTCATTCCCTCCTCAGCCCGTGGGCTTTCTGAGCCTCTGTGCTTTGAAAGGAGCACCAAACTGCTCTGGGCTCCTCCTGGGTGCTGTTCGGCTTCTTTCCTGTTCACCTACTCCGGCAGAAAAGCCCATGCCTGCTGCCTTTAAAAGCGTTTGAGGAGGAAGGAAGAGGGAGCTCCATCTTCTCCGTTACTGGTTCTCTCAACCCTTTCCTGCTTCTCTGGGAGAGCCCCAGGCGCTGCTGTGTTGTGGTGCTGGAGATCTAAAGAAATCTGAGATTCAAGGGACAGGAGGGTGGAAATGGTTAAATCACACAAACGAACAAGTTAATGCTTTCCATCCCCTTGCTGGCATGTTTCGGTTTGTGGAAGGGGGTCTGGCTAGCAGCTGTGCCAGCAATTGTAGCTCTAAAAGACTATTTTCTTTGTGTCAGCTTTCATCCATGGCCCCTTTGGATTCCCCTGGCTCTTGCAGATGCCAGAGTTTCCAGGGCTGCTGCTGCGAGTCCCTGTGACTGTTTTCTCTCTCATACCCGGCAATGGAGTTAGATGGGGGGGGGGGGGGGGCGATGAAAACTGATTGCTTCCTGCCCCATCCTTACCCAAGCAGAGGAAAGGTACTTTTCCCAGGATACAAGTGACTTGGCAGCACTTGCAAACAGAATGAAAAGCTGCATCTCTGAACCCAGGAGCACAGGGGAGCAACTTGGGGTACAGCTCAGGGGAAAGCAACAGACAAATATTTGTGGCTGAGCAGTCCTGCAGCCAGCTTCAGATGCAGGAGCCTTCTTGTATAAGAAGGCTTATTTACTGCTACGTGTATATATCTATATATGGCTTATATATTATGAGATATTGTATAATAAACTGTACTACAGTAAGCCTGGACACTGTCCATGTTCTCTCTCCTAAGGTCACTGAGCCCCAACAGCAGGCACAGGGAATGGGTTGTGTCTGTGTTATTTGAGCTTCCCCTCGAGGGATGGTGCCTGTCGCCCCCCAAACTCCCCCTACAAACAGTAGTAACCCAGGATCTCCCGAGTGCCAGAGCCTTGCTTGCCCATTACCCAGGGACCCGTCTGTGTGATACCAAACTTATCACTGCTTTTCTTACCCACAGCAGGAATGCGTCAGCTGAGCTCTGCCATCGGCACCACCACCTTAAATCACCTCCCTAACTTCCTACTCACCTTCTCCTGATGCATTTTCCTATTGCAGGCAGTGGTGGAAGCATGGAGAAGGAGAAACCCAAACTTCTCCAATCGGGTAAAGTGAAAAGGGTGTTTAAAAGTCCTTGAGTACACTGAAGATGGGGGGAGGTGGGAGGGGTGGTAAATGAAGCCCAGAGGTCAGGCTCTGTCACTGTCACTGCATCCTTCCTCAGCCTTCCAGTCCCATTGTTGGGCTTGGGCTGAGCTCAGTCTGAAGGCCCCATTGGGTCACTGCCCTGTCTCAACCTCGGGGAACCTTTGCAGCCCCCCAGACCCTCTACTTGGCTTTGGCACAAGTGGGTAGGTAAGTGTAAGAAACTAGAAAGCCCTACTAGATGCCAGTGGTTACAGCTGCCACTCAGGCAGCTGCCCTAAAGACATTGAGAACCCCACAGGTGAATTTGGACTGGTTTGCTGTGAGAGGAGCATCTCTGCCAGCCAAAGTCACAGTGAGGGCTCATGTGTCACTCCTGGGTCCCCCCAAGTTTCCAATGACTTGTGGGGTGTATTCCCCCTCGATCTTTACAGCCTCCCTTCACTAGCACAAAAGCCAGGTCTGATAGCACGTTTCATGCCCCAGCCCTCCCCACAGCGTGCTGGTGCTGCCCCTGCTCCCCTCTGCCGTGTTTCTGGGGTGCAGGATGCTGCTGGTGTGGGCAATGGGGGGGTGGCAGGCAGCACAGGCAGCCTCTCACAGATGTTTAATGGGATTTTACAGCTCTGGGTCTCATCGGGAGCTGTTGTCACGGAAACAGAGATCTGCAGAGCCCCGTGCGCTCGGCGTTAACCGCCTCGGTGCCGTGCTGATGGCCAGGGCAGGATGTGCTTCAGGGCTGGTGGTGATTTGGATCTGGAGCTCGCAGCCTCTTCCTGGCTTTGCAGAGGTAGCTGGTTCATTTCGGTCTGGTGGTTTAATGGCTTCTTAAACCTGCTCCTGGGATGCTGGAGCACAAGGCTGGGAGCATGTTCTGGCCCTGGGTTCTGGCCCTCTTGTTCCCAAGCTTGGGAGACTCCCACACTAACAAGAGACAACAGGCAAGGGTGGGTGCAGGGAAATGCCCTACCAGTGCCGGCTCCCAGCACATCTCACGGGCTGCAGTGTGGGGACCTCCTCTGGGCGTGTGGCCGGACAGGAGAGGGCACCAGAGATGCGCTGCCACAGGGGAGGTGGCAGAGCACGGGCCACCCCTGCACATGGCTCCCCGAGAGGTGACATCCCTGTTGCTAGGGCAGGCTGGCAGCTGAGCCCAGGCTAATCGCCTTAGCGGCCTGAGCACCATCACGAGAGTGAAAGGAGATGAGGGCACGGCGGCATTAGCAACCCTCATTGGAGAGGTACGAGACAACTGAGGCAAGCAGAGAGGGAGAAGACCCCAGGGAGACATCAGCGGAGCAGCTGGAGGGGCCTCCTCCATAGGCAGCAAATAACCCAACAGCTGGGATCTCTGAGGAAGTGAAAGGCTTTAGACACCATACCCAAGAATCCCAGCGGAGCCATCCCTGGTCCGTCCTCCCCAACAGGAAGGTGTTGCCAGGCAGTCTGGGTCCTAATCCATTCCCACCCATCCGGGGGGGGCAAACGTGTGTGGATGCTTTCCCAGGCCCCTACACGGCCATGGGGCATATGCCCCATCCCTGGCAGTGTCCAAGGCCAGGCTGGACACAGGGGCTTGGAGACAGCTGTTCTAGTGGAAGGTGTCCCTGCCCATGGCAGGGGGTTGGAGCTGAATGATATTTAAGGTCCCTTCCAACACAAACCAGTCTGGGATCCTATGGTTCTGTATAGAGAGTGAAGAGCCACTGGAGTTTACCCTGTATCAGAGACATGGAAGACAGGATATTGAACATATACTGTCCCTTTCCCTGACAAAAGAGACGAAAGATGCTATTTTCCATGGCAGAGAAGGGGGTGAGTGAACTGCACAGTAGACTCCACTGTGAAGGAGCGCAGATGCAGGGCTCTGTTCCCTCTTCCTGCCACATCAGTGTCACCGGGTTCTGTGTTTCCTTTGCCAGCGGCTAAGAGGGCTGGAGTGATGGATGCTTTACAGGCAGCTTTGTGGTCCAGCAGCCTGTCTCAGCAGAGCAAGGCAGCGTGGCAGGCTAGGTGCTGCTCCCTGGCTGTGCCACCTCTGTGCTGCTTCCCACAAGGAGTTCCAGGGCTGCTGAGGGAAGGAAAAAACATGGTGCCTACTTTTACTACTTGCTGTTTGTTCCTTCCTTGCAGCTGTCAAGGAAACCATGGCATGGTTCACATACCCAGCTGGTATTGCTGTAGTCGCTGACGTTACATCCTTTTAATCTACATCCAAAATAGCTTCACCCCTCCATTCCTGGTGGCTTACACAGCATCTTTCACTGCGCACTCCCGCCTGCCGTCTGTTCTCCTGCCCAGTGATGCGGACCAGGACACCAGTCTTAAAATCATACACTGGGTTAGAAGGGACCTTTAGAGGTCATGTGGTTCAACCTCCCTGCAATGAGCAGGGACATCTAGCTCAGGGTGCTCAGAGCTCTGTCCAACCTGACCTTGAATATTTCCAGGGTGGGGCATCTGTCACCTCTCTGGGCAACCTGTGCCAGTGTCTCACCATCCCATGTAAAAGATCTCTTCCCTATATCTAGTCTGAACTTACCCTTTCCATTTAAAACCATGACTCCTTGTCCTATTGCAACTAAGTTTTATGTTTCTGCTAGGGAGCAGAATTGTACCTTTTAGTTGCATGAGCGTGGTAAAGACAGGACCAGAGAGACATGGCAAGAGTCGAGGTGGTAGTGAGATATATGGAAATAACCCACCCATTGCCAGCAGCTACAGCAAAAGACAAAGCCTTGTTCTGTATTAGAGGCAGAAAAGAGAGATCAAGAGGGTTTGGAAAAGGAGGCAGCTTTTCCAAGGAAGCAGGTTCACAGATGACACAGTGAAGAGATGTTAAGGCAGCTGTGCTGCTGAAAGTGGCTGCTTTACAGGATGTTCTGGGTAGAGGGGATGTGATGTGCTCAGAGTGGAAAAGAAAGCAGGGAAAAACAGGACCCAAAGTGGGAGTGGACACAGAAGTGGCCACAAGCTGGTGACCAGACCAGAAGAGTGGGGTAGGAAGATCTCTCAGCTAAGCACTTGGAAAAACAAAACCAGGGTAGAGATGTAGAAAATATAAAGCCATAACTTTTCTGTCACAAATACAGGAGGATGAGGGTCAGGAGGAGGGAGAAATCTCCAACTCAGCTTCAGCAGCCTACAGCAGCAGTGGGATGCTTGCTCATCTTTTACGTGCAGTAAAGGTCAGGGATTTAAAGCAACAGGGCTGATCTGCCTCTTGGCCTCAGCAGGGTCCAAGTCTAACGGGTGGTTAGTGTAGCCTTGCTGCCCCCTCAGACCCCGACCACCTTGGTGTCTGTATGGCAGACTTGCCTTGGTGCTATGCACGGTAGCTGTGGTCCTCCACCAGTGATGTGAGTGGCAGCAGCACAAAACCTGTAGGTACACGTGACACAGCACCATGTATACTCCCATACACGGCCTCGGCTGTCAGTAACAGCGTGCCCTGTGTCCCATTGACACCTGACTTGGTTTTGCCCCTCTGGCCCTTTCCCAGAGGAGCACTGTGTGCTCTGAGGGCAGGAAGCTCTTGCTGCAATCAAAACCCTGGTGGGAGGGAGCCCTCGCTCCCTTTGCAGCTGCTTCAGACCCAGCTTCCTTTGGAGGGGGAGGATTTCCCTTTCCACACCTGCAAAAACAGGGGGCCCGGACTCACTGCTTACAGGAGGAAATGGCCAAGAGGGTTCCGGAGGTAGGAGCTGGGAGGGAGGTACCAGATACTTGAACCTGAACTCTGCCTGGCACCATGGGATTCCCTTCCCATGCCCTGAATCTTCCCCTTTTTTTCTCTTCTCAGGATGTGATTTCAGTTCAGTGCAGTACCTATGTGTTTGTTTCGTGGTTTAACCCCATGGGTAGCTAAAAGCCACTGAACAGCTGAACGTCTTCCTGCTCATTAGTGAATGAATTCATTGCTTTGCTGTTGCTTTACCTATTAAACCCCCTTTATCTCAACCCCTACCCTTCTCATTCTGACCCTATCCTGATGCAGGGTACGGAGCGAGTAGCTGTGTGGTGCTGAGCTGCCCACAGCAGCTCAGGGTTAACCCACACCAGGTCTGAAAGCATGTGTTTGCAGAGGATGCTGCTGGAGCTGGTGCTCCTTGGGGTCCTCCTCCCCATGACTCTCCTGTCTGGTGCTTTGCAGTCCCCAGGAGCTCTCCCAGTGGGATGTATTGTTCTCCATCACCAGTTGTCAGGACATTTCTCCATGCCCCGTCACGGCTGCCAAGGAAAACAGGAGCTCAGCGTGTGAGCCTTGTCAGCTCTGATCTGAATCCCATCCTGCCCACAGCAGGCTCTATTCTGCCTTGAGCAGCTCCATCCCTAGACTGGAAAGCCACCGGGCTTCTGCTTAGTAGCTTAAAGGACCCATTGTAGGGGAGCAAGGTCAGGGAAAGGGGATGCCGCAGCCAGCTCATCAAGGAAGGCGTGCAGGGCACGGGCACAATAGCTCCGTGTCCTCCTCTGGTCTGGCTCAGCACTTGTCCTCCCCTTGAGCTTCAGCCAGATGATTCAGAATTGGTTTGTGGTTGAAGTGATTCAAGCCGTGTCCTTTTCTGCTGCCCCAACGTCATGCGTGTGCCATCTGCTTCCCACCATGCAGCAAAGTGAAGGCAGAAAATCAATCACAAATCCATCGCTGCTGGCCCGAGCACACAGAGGGAAGAGAGGGAGGGTTTGGCTGGCTGGATTCAAGGGGACTCTTCCTCCTCAGAGGATGCTGCTGTGGTGCACAGAGCAGACACAGTACCAGGTGGTTGCCTGGTCTGTGGGAGAGATGGTGGTCATCCCAATCCAAGCCTGGGGAACGGCAGGTTGCAGCCTTTGCTGGTGGATGTGATCATACCAGGGCAAAAATCTGTGCTTTGAGTGTAGGAGGCAGCAATTTCCAAGTATTCCTGAAATGTTTTGCTTGTCCTCTGTAAAGCCACTGCAATCTCAAACCAGATCTGCTGGGGATGACCGAAAATAGCATCTTTGGGCATGGGTTTCCAGCCCAGCGATCCCTTGGCCAAGCCATAAATACTTTGCCCAAAGCACTATGTTCAGTAGCTCCAGTGTTTTCCTGTTGTCCTGCTGCTGCCAGCATGAGAAGCCACTTGATAAAGCCCACCTGGATTTCCAAAGGGGTCTCTTGCAGTCTCCTAAAACAGCTAAGCTCTCACAGGATGAGAGGGGCGGTTCCTATCTGACTGCTAACCTGTTATTTAACCGGGTAAAGGCAGGAAACAACTCATCAGGAAGACTGTGAATAGTAGGAATATTTCTGGCACTCAGTAGGAAAGAAACAAAAGCCTGGCTGTGAAGGGCTGCAAAGGGGCCTCACCTGGATGGTTGGAGGCTTGGAGCATCTCAAAGGGGTTGTCTTGCCCTGTGTGCCTTTCCTTTGTAACTCTACGGAGATGCTCTGAGCATCTGTTGCCAGTGGGAGCGAAACGTGGGGGCTGTGGGGTGTCTATGGCAATGTCAGCCAAGTGTTTTGAGGTAGTTAAACCCCAAAAGCCCCCTCTGAGACCTCGAAATCTCTGGGAAAGAGGAAGGAAAAGCAACCGCAGCAGCAGCAGCCTTTTGTTTTATATGCGCTGTGTTGCCTGCAGTTCTGGCTCCCCTGCCTGAAGGGGGACACCATAAGCTAGATCAGGAGCTGAGCGAGGCAGCGAGGGTAACTGGGGCTGCTTAATTCAGGCAAAACACGAAGGAGGCATATGAAATCATAACCTGGAGATGTCGGGGTCTCTCCCACGGGAGTGAAGCTGGCAGGGGTAGGTTTAAATGCCAAGCTGCAGTTTCACAGCCCTCCTCTTCACAGGATGTTGCAGATGCTTTCAGCCTGCCCGGTTAAATAAAGCAACCGAGTAAAGCATTTATGGAAGAAAACGGTGGGAGGATGTGAGAAAATTCACCGGTTGGGAAAGATGAGAGAGTGTCAGTGCGGGCGGGAGGGAGAATTGGGACCTGTGAGGAGCGGAGGTGGAGGGAGGGAGCCGTCTGCTGGGTTCCTGCCAGGTCTTGGGAAAGGGGTTATCCTGGGGACTGAGGAAGGATGAGGAGCAAGGAGCTGCTGCTGCAGGCTGGGGTTTGGGAGCCATGGGGGGAGCCTGTGAGAAGGGGCTGCTGGATCAGAGGAGAGTGTGCAGAGGGAGAAGGACAAGCAGTGCATTGAGTAGAGGCTCCTGCTTGCTTTCAGCTCTCTTTAGCTGTGCTGCAGTCCAGCTGGCAGATGGGGGGACATCTCACCCTCCTCCTTTCTGCTGTAGCCCTGAGGGAATCAGTGCACAAAGCCTGGCAGCTCTGAATGCTCCCTGTGTTGTCTGCCCAGACCAAATGCCTCATCCCCGAGGGGCTGACCCAGCAGCAGCACCCACACAGGGTCCACACAGCAGGGTCCAGCGCCTAAAAACACCCACCCTCCACAGGGGACTCCCTGGCAGCAGACCTGGAAGGGAGATGGTTGATGGCTGTGTTTGGAGGCGGTCAGTCCCTCCCCAGCCAGGCTCTGCGCCTGATCTGTGTGCGTCAGCCCTGCTGTGCACAGAGCTCTCCACCTACCCCCCCCTGCTCCCTCCACGTTCCTCTTGCTTTCCTAGTCTGGGGATGGGGGCAGACCCATAGGTGATGATGTCTCCTGCCCCATGTGGGGCTGGGGGTGGGAGCAGGAGCACGGCAGGGAGAGGTGAGGAGCAGTTTCAGCTGTGCTCCAGAGATGGGTGCTGGGTTTGTGATGGGTATCTAGCTGACCCTCCAAAAGGCTTTTAAATCCTGTATAGAAGCCTTATAGCTTGTCTCCTCTGCACATTTTAATGTGCCTGCCTTCGGTATTTCAGGAGCTATGGTTACAGCAAGAAAGGCTTTCAGTCCTGAAAGTTTTCTCATGCCTGCAGCATCTGGGCACTAATTCAGCTGCTGCTTTATATTCCTGAGCAGGTCTCCTTCTTTCTGCCATCCCATCTTCCCATGCACTGAAGGCAGGATGCTGTGTCCCCTATCACTGGGTGCCTCGTGCCAGTCAGTGCTTGGTGGCTGATCTCATTTGGGGCTGTTGGCTTGAGCATAGCGTCATGAGCTGGGTGCGCTCAGCTTTAAGCTGTAAAGGCTTCTTAAGGGTAGGTGCTGTCTGGGCCTGTTTACTGGGACACCAGCACTTGGCTGTGTTTGGAAGGCAATGCCAGGCTTAAATGGATAAGGCCAAAGTGTGGGGGATGGAAGGATTCAGGGGGCTGTAATCTTGGCAGGCAGCATCCTCTGTTACACCATCACTATTCCCTCTCATGGGCTGCACAGAAACCTCCTAAGGAGGTGGTGTCTGAGGTGTGGAGTCCCCTTAGGGTCATGGTGTTGCCCATCAGGGAGCCATGGCTGCTCTCTGGGGTTGGGGTGAAGGGGTCTGAAACCTTTAACATGGTGCATTGGGCACAGCTGGACCATGTTCCCTCTTGATTCCCCATTAGTTTTGAGGTCCCCCAGCCCAGCCTGAGGAAGATGAACCAGAGCTGGCCTGGAGGTTCTACCAGAGCTTCTCCCCCCTGTTTTTAACACCTTTTCAGAACAACTGAGACCAGCAAAGCCATTGAGGTGACAGGAGATAGTGGCATCCTGGAGGACACAGTGGAGACCATCAGCTGCTTGTGCTACACGGCACTGGGCAAAGGCAGAAAACTGGACCATCAAAAGCTTTCAGTAAGTAAAATTCACTTTCACAGTGCATGGCTGTGAAGGGTGATGCATTTTCTTTCTTGCTTTTGGAGCTGCCTGACGCAGTTTTTGTGTCATTGTAGCTCTCCTGTCCAATCTTTGGTCTGCCCCTATAGACAAGTGAAGGGTCGAAGGCTTCAAGCCAAGGGGAGGAGCCTCACCTGTAGTTCCCATGCTGGAGCAGACTGAGCAGAAAGGCAGAGACAGAGGGGCAAGCCACAGCCCTCCGTACACACAGCTTGGTGCTGGGGTGCCAGAGCAGGGACCCCAGTTCTTGTCTTGCAGGGTGGTGGCTGTTGGTGCAGTAGTTTACAGTGGGAACAGCTCTGCTCCAGCTTGCAGCTTCCAGGCATTTTTTTCTGTCCTAACGTATTTGTAACACTGAAGTAATGGAAAGATCCATAACAGCCCAGCATCACCTGGAACCAGTACACAGCTTGGCTGCTGTCACATCCCTGTGGGAGGAGGCAGGCTGATCCCAGCCCAGGGAGCTGGGGTACCAGGAGGGTGGAGAAGGAAATAGGGTGGCTGGGAATGCTCTCAGGGAGAAGGGAGAATGGTCACATATGGAGGGGTGAGCCAGCACAAGCAGTGCAGCCGGATCTGGGGCCTTTACCATGGCTGTGACCACAGTCAGGCTCTTTGCTGCTGGAGCCTGTGCCTGGCCAAGCACTGCTGGGAGCACTGATCCCTCCTGGGGTCACCCTGAGCCTTTGTTAGTTTTAATGCTCTTTTGTGTTCACGTAATACAATTCCATTCTTTGGTATTTGGGTGTTCCTGGGGCTCGTCCATCACATCATGGGCTGGAAGCTCAGCAGCCCCATGCGGCACGTGGCACAGCCTCTGGTCCCCTCGCGGTGGTGGCTGCATTCAGCGGAGCTTTGTGCTTCCAATGCACTTCATGTCTATTATCTCACTCCAGTCCCAGGTGCTCGGCTCATGCAAAGCCAGTGGTGCATGAACCAGAGAGAATAACAGTTCTCTGTGGATGAGTGTGGATGCAGAGGCCCTTGGGAAGAGGTAGGAGTGTGCCTTTTGTGCAAGAGGTTTGTGCTTGAAAGAGAAAAATGCTGATTGTAGAGGGGAGAAGAGTTGCTTGGGTTCAGTCTCGAGCAGCTGGTTGGGCAGGATGGTGCTGGATGAGGCTCAGGGATTCCCCACACTCAAGCCAGGGAGAACCAGAAGCCCACTAGAAGCAGTTTGTTCCCTTTTCCTGCCTGGGAAGGGATGAGAGAGTCAAAAAGGACAGGTGAGAAAATTAAACCATAGAGACTGGGTTGGAAAGGACCTTAAAGCTCATCCAGTTCCAACCCCTGCCACAGGCAGGGACACCTTCCACTAGAGCAGCTTGCTCCAAGCCCCTGTGTCCAACCTGGCCTTGAACACTGCCAGGGATGGGGCAGCCACAGCTTCTCTGGGCACCCTGTGCCAGCGCCTCAGCACCCTCACAGGGAAGAACTTCTGCCTAAGAGCTCATCTCAGTCTCCCCTCTGGCAGGTTAAAGCCATTCCCCTTGGCCTGTCTCTACAGGCCCTTGTCCAAAGCCCCTCTCCACGTTCTCCATCAGTCCCTCTGCCCCCTTGGTGCCTGGGACATGAGGGCTCCTTGCAGGGGCAAGAGCTCTGCCACCCTTGTGTCAGGGAGGTGCTGGGCTCTGCCAGGCTGGTGACTCCAGGCAGGAGCTGCCTTCATGCAACCAAATGCCTGTGGCTGCATTTAGCAGTCCCAGAACTGCAAAATGAAAGAGAAATTGGGAGATGAGCTGCACCTGGGCCAGCCTGGAGCCCTGCCTGAGAGCTTTTATTCTCTTGTAGCAGTTTCCTTCATATAAAGCCTTTTCTTACGGCTTTGCAGCTGTGATGGTCTGCGCTATCGTGACTATGTGGACAAAAGAAAAAGGAGAAAAACGTTTTTGGTACAAAAAAATGTGATCTTGCCTCTCTCATACCTTTGCTGGTGCAGAGATGAACCGGGAGCTTTGGGGCGCTCATCCAGGGGCCTTATCCAGGCTAGGCTGGAGGTCCTGCTCCCTACACAGAATTCCACCTGGGCAAAGCTGGTTCCTGAGAGCCCACACATGGAGTGGGCTCTGGGGAATGGATGTGTCCCCCCTGCCCAAATGTCACCTGGGCTGAAAGCCACGTGGGTGGGAAGCTGGTGAGGGCAGGAGCCACCCTCACTGTCCAAATCCTTGCCATGATGGCTATTCCCCAGGGATAAAGGAGAGAGCAGAGCCCTGGTCACAGTGCTTGAGCCCTTCTTGTCCCCCCGAGGTGCATGTCCCTGTGTGGCAGCCGTGTGACAGCAGTGTCCCTCCTGGTGAACCCCTCAGAGGGGTCCTCCTTCCCTGGCTCTCCTGTCAGCAGCACCAGCCCTGCCACCGACTGTTTTGAGGTCAACCCTGCCGGCAATGGGCCAGGCTGCAGCTCCTGCTGCTCTGCTGGGAGGAAGGCCAGATGCCCCTTCGGAGGCACAAATGCTTTTCCATGTGCTGGTGGCCCTGGCTTGGTGGCACAGGAGGAGTTTGTCCTTGTGACTGGTTCTGTGCTTGGGGCTGGAGCCAAGGGCTAAAGGCTGTGTCTGACAACCCAGCCTGGGCTGCATTCCTCATCCTGGGGCTAAGACCACATTGCAGGAGCTGTTTTGCTGCTAAGTCCTGCTGGTACCTCATGGTAGGTACCCCAAGGGGTACCTGAATCCCCTGTGCAGCCAGCCCCATCCTCTCCTGTCCTGGGCAGCACTGCCTTTACCCCCATGCCTGCATCGGGGAGCAGCCCCTGCCACTATGAGTTTGGGAAGGTGGTGGTGGGACATAACCAAGGGGTTCATCAGTATCCCACTGGGGCTGCTTTAGCCCTCCTGCTGCAGCGAGCTGCCACCAGCATCTCCTCCTCATCCTCTGTCCTGCATCACCCCACAAGCAGTCTTGGGGGGACATGGCCATCAGCCAGGGCTGTCTTTTAAAGTCTCTGCCTCTTCTCCAGCCCCGTTTCCTCTCTGTGTTGCTATTGCTGCCACGGGTGTGGGATGGCGCCACAGGGCTTTCAGGACAGGCATAGACACACAGGGGACTGCAGGGATGGTTTCAAAACGAGGGCAGGGACCTGATTATTGTCCTACTTTGTGTCGAACCTCCCCGGGTTTTTACAGCAGCCTTTTGATGACCTCCTCAATGACAAGTTGCTAATTGTGACGGCCTCGGAGATGCCGGGATGGGCTGATGCTGGGTTATGGGGTGAGGACACCCCAAAGCTCTGCAAGAGCCAGCAGAGACCTCGTGAGCTTCAGCAGGGAGAAGTGCTGCATTGCCCTTGGGTGCTGCAGCAGTGGAGGAGGATTTCTGGTTCCTAATAGCATGAGGCATTCACCAGCATCCTGTAGAGCAGCGAGCTCCAAATTGGTTTTATTACATTCCCCCAATGTATTTCTGGATGTATAAATAACCTGCACGTACTAATGGGTATATTGTAAAGTACAAGCTAAACCAGAAATTAAAACAGGATGGGGTAAAGAGGAAAAAAGCGCCAGTTTAAAATGGGGCTTTTATGTTTATTGATACTAAAAAGTATTTTCTTCCCGCACCTCAATGGACTATCTCCTGCACCCCACTTTGGGGACCACTGAGGAGAAGGGAGCCAGACCGTCCCCACGCCCTCTGGCACCCACGGGCCCCTTCCCCATGTCCCCCCTCCCCTCCCCTCCGGATGCTGCCCCACACAAAGCAGCTTTGTCTGCCTCTTCCTCTTCGTCTCCTCTTGTCTGGCTGCTCTCCCTCCCTGGCGCCTGTCCTGTCTCCCTGTGCAGCACAAGGACTTTCTTCCTCTATCTCAGGGCAGGGCGTTCAAGCCCCTCGTTGCCCCATTGAGGCTCCTGGGGACTCCCTTGGTCCAGAGGTGATGGGCAGGGTCCCCACCTCTTGTCCTGGCATTCATCCATATCCTGGGGATCCGTTGTCCTGTTGCCAATCACGGCACAGCTTCACCAGCTGCTTTTCTTTCCCCATGCCAGCAGGGCTGTGTCTCATGCAGTTCACCCAGAGGGCTCACCCCACATCCCGTGTGGCTTGAGCCCTCTGGGAGAGAGGGGATGTCCCTGGCATGTGCCTCTGCTCCCCAGCCCAAAACTGGCAGCAGCTTCCAAACTGGCCACTGGGATGTGCCCAGCACTGTGCCACCCATGTCCCCGTCTCCTGCAAAGGGGTGTTCCTGACTGCAGAGGCAGCATCACACGCAAGAACCAAGTGCATGGCTTGGCTCCTCCACCAGCGATGTGGTGACAGTGACCCTGGCAGGTCCTATCCACAGCAGTGCAGAGGCCCCAGCAAGTTCCAAGAGACTGGATGGGCTCCAGGGGGGACAGCAGTGTCCCCTTGGAGCAGAGCCCATCCAGCCACACCATGGCCCAACAGCAGTGCCCAAGGCAGTCTCGCCTCTTCCTGATTTGCCTTCATCCCGCTGGCATCCCATCCCTTGTTTTGCCTTCCCCTCCTCTCCCTTCTCACTGGCTCCATGACTTCATGTCTTGGCCACAGATGCCATCAGCTCCTCCAGCACTCAGCTGGACAAGGGCTCTGCCCTGTGGGGAGGACAGACAGACCGAGCAGCATGACAGACCCCAAACAGCAAACACGGCAGAGGCCACCAAGAGGTCACACAGGCTTGTAAAGGGCAAAATCCCACCACAGCTTATTTCGCCTGGTCTCCTCCATGTGATGGATGAGCTCCTGGCAGGCACCGAGCCCCAGCAGGGCCCGCAAAGGGCAGGCAGTGCCCTCCCTCCAGCCTCTCCCCCACTGCAGTCACAAGGTTCCAGCCAGCAAAAGGCAAGTTTTGTTCCGTCTGCACACGCTGGGGTTAAGCTGTTAAATCATAAAGCATGGGGAAGTGGATTTATGGAGCAGGAAGGGACACAGGGGATGCTGAAACACTTCTCATTCCCAGCCAGGAATGTGGGGCTGTGAGAAGAGCTGGCTGTGTCAGGGGGAGACACAATCCCAGGGGATGCTATGGTGAGGGGCTGGCAGGGAGCTGGGAAGTGTGGGCTGTGGGAAGGGCTTTCCCACCACACCATCCCCTTCTAGGGACACCCCTGTTCTATGGACACCCACTCTCCTTGCCTGGCTCACTCGCTGCCCCAGAAAGCCCCTTTTAGACCTTTTCTATCCCAAGCACTGGGGTTTCTAAGGGGTTTTTGACAGCACCAGCCCTCCCTACTGACCTGTTTATGGGAGAAGCAACCCCCCCCCCCCCCCGGCCCCACTGCCACCATCTCCCCAGGGCTCACAATCCAGCTGCAGGCTCTTGGCACAGAGACGCATGAACCTGCATCTCCCATGCTCTGGGTCAGACCAGGGTGATCTCCTGCCTGCCTTTGGGCCCCCAAAGGAGCAGGCGAGAGGGAGCCAAGTGGAAATTCAGCTTTTGTAGTGATTATTCCCCACTCCGCCTCTTTTCTGGGTGAGATCATGGCTGGAGGAGCTGCCCGATGGGACTTGGCCCATGACCGCAGCCTGATGCCAAGGAGCATGTCAGCAGGCGGGATGCCAGCTCCCCACCCAGCCCTCCCCGGGGCCGAGCGGCCACAGGTCACCTCAGCTCACAGACCCAGTGGAAAACCGGGTTTGCTCAATTCATTTTTGGTTTGGTTTTTTTTTTTGCTGTTATTTCAATTTGATTTTCAAGGTCAACTGCCCCAAAAAACTGCTGCAAACAAGAGCCCCATGAGCTGGTGACGTGGGACCATCACTGCCCGCGGCATCTGCAGGTTCCAGCCCTGCCAGGAGCAGGTGGTGAGTCTGGGACAGTCCCCAGGGGAAGGACAACGAGGTCTCCAGCACCAAGTAACCTGTTTCTGTATCACCAAGGGCTTCCAGCTCAGCTGCCTGCAGAACAGGTTGGGGCTCCCCTGGTCCCATGCCACGGTTGTATGTGGGAGGGTGATGGGGGACAGTGAGGGAGGGGGGAAGAGGTGATGAGCTGCTCCTAATGTGAGGGGAAAGAAGGAGATGAAGGAGAGGCAGAACAAGGCAGCAGCAGGAGGGCACCACAGTGGATACGAGACCCTTACAGCTGTTGATGTTCAGAGCATCCCAGCACAGGCCCTCGCTGTGGTCCCCTTCTGCTCACTTGCTGAGCCACCTCAGTGTTGGTGAATACACACACCCCACACATGCACACACCTGGTTGGGAGGGTACAGCTACTCAGCCTCCCAGCATCCAGCACCGTTGTAACCCACGGTCCCACTCCAGCCACAGAGTCCCTCGGTGCTCCCCACGACTGGAGGTGAAAGACACCCCGTACCCCCTCACTCGCTCCTATCGCACATCCAGGATCATCCCCTCCTTTCCAAGGCCGTGCTGTCCTTCCTAGAAGTGATGTCTCCAATCCCCCACTGGTCACTCAGCCCACGTGGCTGCTGGGGCCTGAGTCTTGTCACCCTCTTCATATCCCTTTTGTCAGGGCTGTGATCCAGGCTGTTTCTGTTGGCCTCCTTTTTCCCATCAGCTCAGCTCAGGAAGCTCTCCATCAGCTAACCATGCTGGGATGAACATGTTCCCACTCCCACGTGTCCCTGCTAATTAGCACAGCTGACCGGGTTCCCTTCATCGGTGTTAATTGGCCAGGCTTGTCTTTGTGCCTTTCCCTTCCCTGTTTTCTCAATGCCCTGGGGTGATTTTAGTGCAACAGAGAGGAGAAATGAAATGAAATGAAACTGAACACATGTCCTCATGCTGCTCACATCCTCACACTGACACCAGCAGCTGGGGACACGGGGACACCATGGGGCTCCGGGCACTGGAGAGGCTGAAGCCACACCAATAACCACAGCTCTGAAAAGCCTCTTTGCTCCCCACCAGCAGTGGCTGTCACCCAGCCAGGGACCCGCTGGGTTGACCGTCCCTCTTCCTGCACCCACAGCCCCCATCACCCAGCTCCGGGTGCCCTGGGACAATGTCACCCCAGCTAGGTGACATTCCAGCCCTGCGGGTGGCACCTGGAAGCACTCAGCCCTGCTCCCCATTGATGTGATTGATCCCTCCAGAGCTGCCCTAATGCACTCCAGGTGCTCCAGCATGGAAGGGATGGTGGCCCCAGGGCTGGGAGCAGAGGGCACAGTGTGACAGGGGCCCCCCAGCACCAGGTCACTGCTCTGTTCCCACCCTGATTCCCTCCATGCCCTCCCCTGTGGTCTGCGACTGCCCGCTCCAAAGGAGGATGCTCTGGGGGTTGGAACGTGCTCCCATGTGTGTGCATGGGGGTGCACACGTGTGTGCATGTGATGTGTGGGACCTGGGCTGTCCTTACGGGCACAGGGAGGAGGGTTGGCTCTGTGGGGTGCAGGGGTTGTGCCCTGCACCCCTGGAGCCTCCTTCATGTTGCAAAGAGGAGGGGGGCAGCCCAGCCTCTTCCCAGCCTGGCTCTGTGTGTGTGTGTGTGTGGGTCTGTCAGGCCCGCTCTGCCCTCGCCTCCTCCACCTCCCCCTCCCATCTGGGCAGCAGCAGCTTAAGTTTTCCTCTGGATGCGACACCATGAACTGCAGGATTTCTCCCTGGCCTGTGTCAATACTACCCTATGGGGGGGAGGGCTTATATTGGCCAGGGGACCCCTCACACAGCACCTGAACCCCCCTCCCCACCATGAAAACCCCAGGGTTGGAGAAGGGAGAGTGGATCCGTGGTGGTGATGGGAAAGGGTCATCATATCCCCCCCCGAGCTGGGGAAGGGTGACCAGGCCCCTGCCAGTGATGGGGAAGGGCAACTGGATCCCCTTGGTGCTGGGAAAGGGGCTGTAGCTGTGGACACCATGGTGTCCTCAGTCATGACTCACAACCATGTCACCCTCCATCCTCGGGGACCTGGGAATGAGGGTGCCCCAAGAGCATCCCCACTGCCAGAGCCAGGCTGAGGCTGAACCACTGCCTCGAGCAGCCTCGGCACTGCAGCAGCACTGGGATGGACAGGCCCCATCTGTGCCCCCCTCTTCCCATCAGAATAAAGAGAACACATTCAGAAGAAACCATTTTATTATTTTTTTTTTCCCAAAGAAAAAAAAAGCCATATAAATATTAGAGTATAAAACTTGCGTGTAACACATCGACGTTGGTCTATACGGGTATAAGAAGGATATAAGCATATATATAATATATAAGTATAATTCAATATTAGACACATTGAAAGGGCAAACGTGTTCATTTCACGTACACTCGGAGCACAGAGCACATGGAAAGAAGATACAGAGAGAATTGAAAATACTGGTGGCCACGAGTTAGTTACCAAGATTAAAAAGAGCACAGCACTAAATACACAACACTCACTACGCTACCTCGGGTTGCAGGTTAAAAAGAAATATAAAGACTACGATTCAGCTACAGCATTTCTAGAGGGGGGGCAGGTGGCAGCTGCAGGGGACAGGGTGGGAACTGCTCCCAGTGCAGCCAGTGCTGGAGGTGGCTGGATCCGGAAGGACAACAGCGGATGCTCCTGCTGCCCTGGGTTTGGGGAGGGGGCAGTGGTGGGGTGGCAGCAGCCTGGCTGAGAGGGCTGGATCTGGGTGAGTTATGAGTTAGTGGTTAAAAAGGGAAAAAACAACACACCCCCCCCCCGGAACCTCCTTCCTGGCCACCCCACAGCCCCTCTCCTTGCTCTGGCTACACAAAGCCCCGCTTTGCCAACCTGGGGGGGCTCAGAGCTGCTTTGATATGGGAAGCTGGCCTGGTGCAAGGGTTATGGGTATATGGAGAAACTCTATTCCTCATCCTTTGATTCCCTACGGAGGGTGGAAAGCCCAAAGCCAGTGGGAACATCTCATCTGGGCTGGCTTGGCATGGTCCCTTGTAACATCCCCACCTTGTTGCCCTGGCTCGCCAGCTTTGCAGCATCACCCCATGCTCACCCCCAGCTCTTGGCTCCCTTTCCCAGGTCCGGTCCCCAAACACCATCGAACAAACCATCACTTACTCAGTCACTAACTCTCAAAGCCATGCGCCAGCAGCTCCGCAGATCTCCCCCTTTGGCTGAGACCCCGAATAACCCCCAAATAAGAAGTGATGAATTTCCCTATCCCATTTCACCCATCCCACCCACCCCACCCCTCCCAAAGCAGCCCCAGCACAGAGGGGCTGTTCACACCACGCTGCATGGGCATGCGAGGACTTCTCTGGGTCCATGGAGCTAACTGCGCTAGCGCAGGCGTGAGGTGAAGGATGTGCATGCAGAAACGGTGTGCAGAAGCGTGAAGCATCGTCCCCTGGTCCCCTTGATGGGGACTTGGCCAGATGGCCACCTGGCCACAGGGGAGTGAGACTCTCTTAGCTTTAATTCCAGAAGAACATTGACTGTACATATAAATATTTACTGCAAAGAAGGGATGAGATGTGTCTGCTCTTCAGAGACCCCTAGAACCGCTGGGGCAGCTGCCGCACACCTCGGCATGCTCCTCATTGAATTCCCTACATCTGACATCAAGAGGGGGGTTTTAATCTCATATTTCAGGCCATCGGTGGTTGCACTTTAAAACAAGAAAATAAATGTTTAGGATGCAGCTTTGCCGTATTCCTTTTGACTCATGCAATATAAACACTTTTTCCAGGTAACAGGGAAGCAGGAACTGAAGCACTCCCTACCAACTTCTCAGCAACAAATCCATCGCTATCATTAACCGGGTGTGAATTTTACTAATGGAAAGTTTAAGAGCAAAGATCTGGAGCATGGGCTCTAAGCTAGGAACTTCCTTTCCAAAGAAAAAATGATTGAAGCTCTATAAATTAAAAGATCCCTGCTAGAATTATTTACACTAGGCAAAGCCAAGCACAAGCCTTGTGCCTTTCGAGGACTATCTGGGAGCAAATCGGATCCGAAGATGTGGCAGAAGACCTTCTGCCCTTGCATATTCTAACACCCAAGGGATCGTATAAAACATTAGCAAGTATTCACAGGGCACTTGTTTGCGTTCGGTTTAGCTTCCGGATTGGTTTTCATCATGAGATCTAACAGCAGCGAGACCCTGCTCCTAGCTCTGATGATGATGAGGAGATACATTCGCAGTGTTTCCTACTTTTAGCATCACAACAAATTCACATTCGTCCTCTGGCCTGAGCTGTGGGTTGAGGGAGTGCTGGAGCCGGCTGCCCTGTGGCTCTAAGGTCTCCTTCTTCTTCTCTACTTCTTCTCCTTCTTCCCGGACTTCTTCTTGTTGCCTCCTGAAGCACCGGCGTTCTTGGCATCGCGCTTGCCGGCAGCGTTGGTGAGGGTGGCGGTGCTGCCCGGGATGTAGACGTTCTGCCGGTAATCGGGGACGTGCTGCAGGGTGAACTGGGGGCCATAGCGGGCGCTCAGCCCCATGGTGCCCGTTCCACCGCCCAGCGTTGAGTTGCCGTCAGCAGCTTCTGTGGGGGACACCAGAGGGTGGGGGGAAAGAGAAGGGCAGGTTGTTACTGTCGGACAAGCATCAGCACCCCCGAAAGGCTCTCACTGGGTGTCAAACGCAGACCTCGGTGCCACCAAACCTCACCCCAACCCTTCATTACCCTTCAGTGCTATTGCTCCATGGGATGGCTGCAATGTGCGTGATGGAGAGCACGGCACAGCCAGCACCAAAATTCCTTGTTTTCATCTCACATGGTTGCTAAAGTCTTGGGATTTGGGGCCTCCAGCCAACCTCTCCTCTGCCCTTGGCAGTGATGGGGCTGCCTGTGCCTCCCTGCCTGCCTGCTGCTGCCTTCTTAGCCCCCCTCCACATAAAAACACCCCCTCCACGGAAAGCATCCTCATTACAAACATATTGTACAGCCACAACCATTAGCAACACATTAAGGGAAATCCAATACTATTTTGTTTTTCCATTGCATTTAAAACCCTGCCCCCAGTATTTCTCCAGCCAAGTTTATTCAGGGAGCAGAGCACAGGAGATGAGAAAGAAAACCCCTCCCCTGCAGTACTGCAAAATGGCTCTAGGAAGCCGAGCACAAAGGAAATCAATGCTGAAGCGCGTCTGATGGTCCAGATCTGGGAGCAGGGGGAGGGGAAGGCAAATTCATTCCTGTTGCTCTGCAAAGCCCCAGCATGGAGAGAGCAAGCGTAGGGATGGGGAAGGGCTCAGATTCCCCCTGGGTTGCTGGGGCATGGCTGTAAGGTAGCAACCAGATGGAGACAGGGGGGATGCATGGAAGCAGGGGGAGAGATGAACATGGGGGGATGGCAAGGCACAAGCGATGCTTGTTGCCATGGGCTGCGGCATGATGTGCTTCAGTGCAACTGCCTGTGCATGGCTCAGGGTGGGATCCTTGCCCAGCCGTGCTCAGAAATGATTTGCTAAACCCAGTTCTCTGCCCTGGATACTGTGATCCTATCTCAGCCTTTTAACTGCTTCATGGCTGCGGACACACTCTCCTGGGAAGCTGGAGAGACCCAGCAGGAGCACATGAAGCACCCAAGGCAGAGTCCAGGGCTTCTGCTCGCTCCTGTCGAAGGTGGAGAGACCACAGGAATAAAAAGCAACAAGCAGAGATCATGGGCCAGTCCTCACGTGTTTCTCCTCTCTCCAGATGAGATCCATGCATGCTTCTTTGTTGCCTTTGCTTTCCCCTAAGCAGATGGAGGTGGCTAAGCCAGCCAGAAAGCTAAACAAAAAGCTGGGCCACATCCCCCCATCCCCTGCAATACTGCCATGTACACATCCCCTCACAGGGGTCAGAAGTATGAAGCAACTGCAGCTTGAAAAGTTACAGCTGTTCTGCTGGAGCCAGAGGGAGGAAAACACACAGCGAGTCCAAAACCTGGCGGGACACTGTGCCCGAGGCCAGGGGATGCACAGGGCAGTGTATAAACACAGGGAACCAGCGTGGGGAAATGCCTTTTGCTTCCCACTGTGGAAGCAGCCACCAGAAGGAGAATTTTTCTGTCCCCATTAAGTGGGTGCCAGACCTGGCAGGGCTTTGAGGACCTCGGGCTGCAGGAGATGTGCATATACAGTTGGTGATATTTTTCATCCACACTCGTCTTATTTCATTAATAACCAGCACAACCCCACACTCATCAGGGTGTTAAAGTGGGAATGGGATGGCTGGAGATGTGGGGTCAGACCAGGCTGCAGCCAGACTGACTTGCAGGTGGACTATGGCCTCTGGCAGCAGGGGAGATAATGTTTTCAAGGCTCTTGTAGCTGTAAAGAGCCCAGCCGGGGGCTTGGTGGGCTTGGAAACCTTCTCTGCTGCCCTGGGCTATCCCAGATGCACCAGGGCTCTGAGCAGTGATGGGGCTGGGGGGGCTGCCAGCACCACCCAGGACAAGTGGTCCCCATGAACTAGTTTGCAGACACAGCAGTTTTTCACAGGGGAGAAAAAGCCACCCATGAAGTTCCCAGCCTGCCAGCTGGTCCCAGGGAAGAGCAAAGGGCTGTTTCTAGGTAACATTGACATTAAGGCTGAAAAGAAAAGAGAACAGGGACAACAGAGGTTTATAAATGGGCACTGAGCTGCTCTTGCCAAGCAGGACCCTTCAGCTCTTGTTACGGGAAAGGTTACACTCAGCCTTTACCAGCAGCCAGCCATTGTCCCAAATGGTCCTAAGAAGGAAAGCAAGGATTTGGTCTTCACAAAAATAACCAGCTAGCAGCTCCATCGGCCTCATGGGCAGAGGGGAGGAGAGGCTGGAGACAGCCCCAGAGCACGTGTTGCTGCAGCTGCTGGGGGGCTTTCAGGAGAACCCAATATAGAGTGTCTGTCCCTGCCTGCAGGCGGTGGAGCTGGGGAGAAGGACCTCCTCCAGCTGCCTTTCTGTCTGCTCTTCCATCATCTCATGGCACCCTCATAAATTCTCCCTGGAAGCTGAAGTATTTTAAGGACAGGACGTCTGTCCTTTCGTGTCTGGTGTCCTGGAGCATCTGTGCTCCTTGGTCTGCCTTTGCAGCTGCCTCTGCCCCTTTAGATGGCTCAAAACAGATTTTTATGTTGTTCCCAGCTGCAAGGGAAGGAGATCACAGAATCATAGAATCCCAGCCTGGTTTAGGTTGGAAGGGACCTTAAAGCTCACCCAGCTCCAACCCCTGCCACAGGCAGGGACACCTTCCACTGCAGCAGCTTGCTCCAATCCCCTGTGTCCAACCTGGGCTTGAACGCTGCCAGGGATGGGGCAGCCACAGCTTCTCTGGGCACCCTGTGCCAGCGCCTCAGCACCCTCACAGGGAAGAGCTTCTGCCTAAGAGCTCATCTCAGTCTCCCCTCTGGCAGGTTAAAGCCATTCCCCTTGTCCTGTCCCTACAGGCCCTTGTCCAAAGCCCCTCTCCAGGTTTCCTGTGGCCCCTTCAGGCACTGGAGCTGCTCTAAGGTCTCCCCTTTAGGAGTCTTCTCCAGGCTGACCCAGCCCAGCTCTCTCAGCCTGGCTCCAGAGCAGAGCTGCTCCCACCCTCAGAGCAGTGAAAATCTCTTAAGATCCAGAGGAAGGAAGCCCAGGAAGAGAAGTCCTACAGCAGAGTCACAGCCCTGGTGGAAAACCAGCTCCCCAGGCATTCCAGCCTGGGAGTGTGGTTTAACCATTGGGCAAACAATTTAATCCCCAGAGCCACTGGATCGCACAGTCTTGGCATGGCAGGGCCAGCTTGGCATCTTGCTGAAGCAAAGGATAACACCCAGCACAGGGTAAGGATGCATTCATGGCATCCACAGCCACTTCTAGGGAGCATCCTTAGCTCGTGAAGCAGAGCAGCATCAGAGGAGTTCCTGCCTCCCAGATGGTCTTGTAAGTGCAACTTGAGAGTGGGCTTGACATGGTGTGGATGGAAATTGAGAGCACACAGTGTCATCACCTCTGTCACTGTGTCCCACCTGCCACCACAGAGCTCAGCAGGTGAAAGTAAGAGATAAGGATCATTTAAAAAGCCAGGAAACATCACCCAAGGATGGGCAGTACAGATCTTAATGGGAATTAACACTGCCCCTAATCAAAGATTGCTGCAATCAACACTGAGCTAATAGTGAGAGCAGAAGAGGGGGACAGAGATCAGGGGAGACATCACAGCACAGTGCTGGTGGAAAAAGCTTGTGCTGTGTCTGCAGGTGGATCCATCCCTCCATCCATCCATCCACCCACCCATCCCTCCCTCCTTCTGTCCCTCCAGTACAGCAAGGGACCGGCATGGGGAAGGAAAGGATGGAGTGCACAGGGCCATCCTCTCGTGGGGCTGCAGCAGGGGAAGCCCTAATCTGGCAGATGGATCTGCTTTAAATTAACCCCCAGGGTGAACTGAAGCCGTGGGAGAGGTTAGGACTGTGGAGACTTGTGGACTGGGGGAGATAGGCTGCAATGGGGCTCAGGGCTACATGGAAGTCAGGGCTTAACCTTGGATCCACTCAGCTCTCTGGTGCTCTGCCTGGAGCAGCAGTCAGAAAAACAGCTTTATTTGTGAGCAAGGAAACCGGATCTGGCGGCGCTGGGTGATGATAACCACATGCAACCCCAGAGGATATTTTTCCATGGTCGTTTTTCAGAGCAGAGACACGTTTTCGCATTGCTCCTTTCCCTTGAGTGTAAACAAGTCCCTTGCCCAAGACCTTCATCCCCTCCCCAGGCCACAGCAGCTGTGTCTCCAGGCTGCCTGGTGTCTGCACAACAGCAAAGTTCATCTGCAGCAGCTTTCCAAGAAAGCAACACCAAAGCCATCCCCCTCCCCCAGATTCTTTCTCTCCCAGCAGCTCAAAGGAAGCATCCCAAGCATTCTGCACAAGGTTTTATGGCTGTGCTGTTGCTTCTATTTTTAAATCAAGGGGGAAAGGACTGTGAGGTATTTATAAATAAAGGCTGCATGAAAAACAGCCTCTTCATCCGTAGTGCTGTGCAGAGTGATAATTGCACTTCGTGACCGTGGGTGCATGGGAATACCCCTCCCTGCCCACCATTTCCACGTGGCACAGCTGTAAAGCAGAACAAACCAACCCAAAATGACCCCAAACCAAATCCCTGTGACTACAACTGCAGTGAACCACTGATGCAAACCAGTGTCTCTGGACACAAGGTTTGTTGGGGATACTGAGTCAGGCATTTACTGTATTCTTGGCCTAGTCTCTAGCCACAAACAAATCTTTCAGGCTTCCTACATCCTCGCCTTATAGCAAGTTGCAACACAGAAAAGGTTTCATTTACGGTGACCTTTTGGAACCAAGTAGTTTATAAAACATCAAGACTCTCTTTCATGTCACAACTGCATCACAAGCCAGATAACTATGTACATATATTTTGTATGGAAGAGGTAGACTTTTTTACAGCACGCCTGATGCTGATGGTATCTCCTCTGTCTGAATCCTTCCTGACCCCTCCTCTCTGCAGGGTAACACAGTGCTTTTCCACTGTTTTCTGTTGAAGGACTTCTGAAGCCACCCCAGTTAACAGATACATCAACCCCATCAGCATCTTATCTAACAGCATGCACTGAGACATCCACACGAGAGCATGTGCCATGGTTTTCCCACACGCGATGGAGACCAACCATTTGCTGAAGCCAGGATCATGGCTTGGAGCATCTCTGTGTCAAACTGGTTGTTCGGCCAGGCTCCACCTTCCTCTCCATTCTGGGAGCTATGGGAAGAGAAAAGAAACAGCAAGTTACTGCAGCTCGGTCAGGAGGAGTGAGCTTAGCACATCAGAAACCAAGGCTGTAGGCTTGTCTGTTGGTGGAGAGAAGCTGCAGGCTTTAAATCCTTCTAGTAAATAACACTGTCCTATTAAAGGTCTCTATCACCCACCAGGCTTTTGAAGAAGAGCCAGCAATACCAAAAGCACTTGGGGGCTCAGTGGTGCTTCCAGCAATACCTACCTAACTTCTGGTGACTTCAGAGACATCCAACACATCACCTCAAAATCCCACCACCACCTTCCCACTGATAAAATGCAGTATCACAAAAAAAAATGCTGGTCCTAAAGCCCCAGAGATGCATTCACCCTCTGGTCCTTTCCCAGGCCATGTGAGTGGATACACCCCTCAAGCTATTTCAGGTTACAACTCCATTCACAGGATGGAAGGTGAGAAAACCCTGTGGCCTTTGGGATCAGCATGGAGCCAGCTGCCTGGCACTGCAAAACTTGCTCTGACGGGAGTCCAAGAGTAGGCATCAGCTCTGCAAAGCTGGCAGCGAACAGTTCTGGGGAGGATGGAGCAACAGGAAGAGGAGAGAAGGGAGGTTTGGTTCCCCAGGACTGGCTGATGGGAGGGCTGAGCACCACAGATGTGCCTGGGAAAGCTCTGGGGATGCTGTCAGACTTTAGCCAAGGAGGTTTTGTGGCTGAGGCTACAATCAGCAGCCTGTGCACAGTTGAACAAGCCCTGCTTTCATGTTTGCCAGGTGCCAGCTGTGCTCAGCCACCCCTCACTGGTGCTGGCACTTCCCCTCCAGAGGGGTCAGGGCTGCTCTCCCAGAGCCCCTCCGGAACCTCCCTGCTTTCAGCAGAGACCTGAACATCTCACCAGCTTCCTGTGCCCTCCTCTGCTCCGACCCTAAGTGACCACCTCCCTGAGACCACCTCTCCCCACTGTGCTCTGACACCCACAGCTCTTGCCACCTGCTGGGATACCAGGATCTGCCCCTTGGCTGTGTGCTGCCTCGCTTGGCACAAGAGCAGCCCTTTTCTTGCAGCTGGGAGCTCTCTAGAAGTGAGACAGGGGAGGTTGAAAGCCCTTTCCCTTGGAGAGAGCTGAGCCCATTTCCCAGGGCAAGCATTCAAATATCAGGCTACAAGGCACAAACGTGGCCTCCTCCTCCACTGCTGTGGTCCCAGCCCTCACACCCAAGAGCTATCAGCCCCCAAAGCCCTGTTTGGACCCCAAAGCCCTGCTGAGACCCCAAAGCCCTACTGAGACATGCTCAAGCAGCCAAGATCTCCCTCAGCTCTGGGGTCTCCTGCTGGCAGCTTCATGCTTGAGCTGCCAGCACAGGCACTGCTGATGCCAGCTCAACACCGCGTGCTGGGTAGCAGATGGGCTCTTCACCCCCATGCCAAGTATCTCGCTAACCCTCACTGGGTGTGCCTGCAGCAGCCCTCATACATAACAGGCTCAACACGGCCCTTTTGGAAGTGGGATGGACCCATGGGACGTCCTTGAAGGATGCATCTGCCACAGTGACCTTGTAGTCAGACTCCCTTTGAAACACGTGATCTGAGTGCAGATACATGTATGGATGCTCCCACATACTCTGTACAAAATCTTGTCTCAAGCAACTTGTCCAGAGACACAAAGGACCTGTGCCAGGACCACCTGAGCATCCATCCCTTCCCCTTCTGTAATGCCTGCCTGATCCGTCCCCAGGCAGGCAGGGCACTGCTCTCACACACTGGTTTACCCATGGAGGACGAATTCAATCACTAATGTAGCAGGGGCTGCCCTGGCATGACCCTACAACAGCACCACTTCTGAAATACCTGCTGTCTGCTGCAACCCAGGGCATCCCAAAAACTATTTATATCCCTCCTTCACAGCATGTGTGGTGGCACGGCTTCAGGAAGGCCAGAAGCAAGGTTTGCCTGCCTCACAAATGGATTTTCGTGTTTGCATGATGGCTGCGCTGAGACTGCTCAGACGTGGGCACTGCTGCTCTGCCTGCCTGTTGGGCCAGCCAGCAGCATGCAGGCAACCCAGGCAGTGAGGACAAGGGGACAGCCCTGGGGCTGCAGTGACCTGTTACTGTCAGAAGCAGGGCTGGGAATAGAGCCCCAGGCTAGATCCAATAAAGGACTTAGGAACCTTTTTGCACTAAACCCCATTGCAAACCACAACCCATTCAGCCACCAGTTAACCCCAGCAGCTTCTGCCCCACTGGGGCAGTTGAGGTTTCCAGGTTTTTCAGAGCTGCAGGAAAGCCATCCAGAAACACCCCAGTGCCTCCAAGCTGCTGCTCCTGGCTCAGGGAACTGCCCCAGCATGGTGATAGCATCCAGGGATGGGGAAAGGGAAATCACAAGGAAGTGCCAAATTTCTCCTTTTTAATTGAAATATTCCAGTGGTTTGAACTCTGGTTTGAAAGCAGACCCAGGTTCAACTCGCTCCATGACACAGCAGTGCCAGCATCACATTTTCCACCTCCTGAAAGACTCTTTCCTCCCACCTCTCCTTCAGGCAACGAGCTGCACAAGACAGAAGCTCCTCCTGCCTCCTGTCAAAGCCATGTGCCCTAGGACAGCAGGAATGCACAGAAGGAAATGCTCACCCTGTGGTCAGGGCATTGACCTTGGAGGTAGCACCAGTACCCCCAAGCTCACTGAGCTCCCTAACCAGACAGCAATCGTGTCTTGACCTGCTGGCTACGATCTTACCAGTAACACCCAGTCAGTCTCCATCCAGGGAAGGATGCACTGGTGACTCGTGTGCAGCCTGATGCAGCCCTTCTCTGCAAGCAAGCTGCACCCAGTGCTCCCAAATTTTGCACAAACAGCCCCAAAGCTGTGTGCCTGCTCCTGTGATGCAGAAAAGCTATTTTAGAAATGCCTTAGAGTTGCAAAAAATGGTTGAGCTCAGTTGTCTAGGCAGGAAATTCAAGTGCCTCAGTTACTTGCAGCGCAATAATCCAGAATTGAGGCACGTGAAAAAAATAAGTGCTGTAATCTAAAAACACCCAAAAATAACTTCTCGCTTTGGCAGAAGGCACACAGCTGATGACCAGGTCTGGCTGCCTTCCACAGCCATAGGATGGAGTTGTGAATCAGAGCTGTGAATCACTGATTCAATAGCCTGCCCTGCCCTGCTCCCCTGCCTGGAATGGGCAGACCTCAGACCCCCCCTTGCAGCACTGCTGGGGCACTGCTTCGGGGAGGCTGCCTGGAAGGGGAGGGCTGGTTCCTATGGAAATGATTCCAAGGACTCCCTGTTTATAATACAAATGCCATTGACTCAATAGTAGGGTTTTTTTCCTAAAAACCCATCCCCCATAGGAGAGATTTTTTTTCCCCTCTGTTCAATCCTACTCCACACTTCAAAGCTCAGAAAAGAGCTGGCTTTTATTTCTGGGAACGTTTCCAGCCCCTCTAGGACTGGAGGGAAGGGAGCAAACCCACGTTTGAGACAAACCAAGGGATGCAGCATCTTAAGGGGGTGTTCCAGGCATGGTGGGCACAGAGGACAGGACAGGGGCTGTGCCAGCACAGCAGGTACAGCCAGTGCACAACCTGCAAACCCCTTCACTAAACCTATGTGGAAATTAGGGAACACTGAAATGAAAGGTTTGCCCTGCAGCCCTGACACAGCCCCACAACAAGCTGCATCATGAGGTTGCCCCACTACCAAGGGCATCTGCCCCAGCAGCGCAGGGTGGACCTGCGTGCTTTGCTGACTAGCTATTTCACAGCACCCCAACCACCACATCCCTTTTTAACTCCCATTTCGAGCAGAGCCCAGAATTATTCATTTCCTGCCGGAGTTGCTATGGAGCTCGTCACTATGGCAGCCAAAGGCCTCACAAACAGGGATTTGCACAACTGCCTGGTGGAGTCATGAAAAAACTGTTTTCCTTGCTCTGCAGCTGGAATCAGGAGCTATAGCAGTGCCACAACAAACTGGACAAGTATTTGTGCCTGAGCAGTGCTCTCAGAGTCCCAGGGGCTGGAAAGGACAGCCCAGCAGCCCATGAACCCGACCCCAGCACCCTGGGGTGCCTGGCAGGGCTTCAGGCAGCGCTTGCCTTCAGGAGTTTCCCAGGACACCCTCAGCATCCTCCCTCCTCTCTCATTTGCGGCTTTCTGGCTCATGCAGCAGTGACCCCCGCTCCCACCATTCAGCACCTCTCCCACCGCATAGCCCGGGTGCTCCCAAGCTTCCCCACTCCAGGGAGGGGATGTGACTGGGGTTTGTTTCTCCTCCCAGACTCTTCCTTTTTCATTCCCCTTTGCTCCCCCTGAGCAGCACCGACCAGGGGTATCTTCAAACCCATTCCTCCAGCCCAGTTCCGAGGCAGCCTCTGGTCCCCTGAGGCTTCCCCCTCTGCACTTTTGTTTTTCCTCTCCCAGCTTCCTCCAAGCCCTCCCCATCCCCCTTCCATCTCCCACACACAGCTCCAGCCAGAGGCAGCAGCAATAAAATCTCAGCCTGCGTGTTTCCAGGCTGGCAAAGTGACAAGAAAGAGGGAATGGATCTGTCCTCGCCGGTGCTACGCCTCCTCCGAACTTCAGGTGTGCTGGGGACACAGTCCTGCGGCTGGGGATGCAGACCCAGGATGAGCATCCTTTTGTCCTACTGCCCACACCAGCTTCCCCCAGCCACAACCCACAGCCCACCACCCTCCCGCCTCCCCCAGCTTCTGAAAACAATGGAATCAGCTCCAAAATTGCCACAATTTCCTGCTCTTTTCCTTTCCTCAGCAGAGGATGCTGCCAGCCCTTCCCCCATCACATTCCCTGCCGCTTCTGTAATGCCATTACAAGGGCCTGGATGAGGCCCAGCTTTAAGATCATGACTTTGCAAAGATGAGATTGAAAATGCTATAGCAGGCAAGTGGGGGAATGATTTGCAGCCTCCCAAAGCACCGGTGAGCCCTTACTTCCAGCCAGCTGAGCTGCTGGGATGCTGCACTGCCAGGCAGAGGTAGAACAAA